CATTTGAAAAAAAAGGGTCTAATGGCAGACGAGCTTAAGAGGGAAGATTTTACGAGCACTTAGCAATTAGCGCGTGGAGAAAGCAATTGCTCCCTCCGAAATCTGCCTTTTAATCTCGCTCCTGTTTGCTGTGTGTCACCTCCTAGGCTGTGCTCCTGCATCCCCGGGTTCGCGTGCCCAAGCTCATGACGCCGATGCCTCTGCGGAGGCGACCGCGCGGCAGCGGGAACGCAGGGGGACGCAGGGGACACGGGGGGACGTGGGGCCTGGGACAAGCGGCGCGCGGGAACCCGCTTGCAATAGGCGATGGGCTCCTCTCGCTGCTCTAGACTTGTGTCGCTCAGTAATCCGTAGTTACATTATTAATGCAGCATTAAAAGGACTCGAGGCCTCTCAGCAAATTCCTATTTCAAATAAATAATTACTGGAGCCAAGATAATTTATTAAATTAAATTGAAAAACCCAGACGCAGTCTATATTTGCCTTCGAGTAATTTTTTTAACTACCGTGGCCATATAAATGCAGCGTTATTTAGACAAGCGTGTCCCGAGGCGGCCGGCTGGGCCCGGAATGCCAATGCGCCGGCGTCCTCAGCTGCTTCCACCCCGGGTTTCCGCGTTGGGCTTTTCGGGGCGGATGAGGTGGTAACTGATCACGGAGCTGGTTCACGTTGGCCTTCCTGCTCCCTGTTGCTGGGCAAAGTCCTCCCCGCGCCGGCCGCTCCTGCAGGATTTCGTCGGGTCTCGTTTGCTGGTCATTACGAGCGAGTCTGTTTCAATCAGCTTGTCATTTTTCATGAAGCACTTTGATTACCTAAATAATGAGGCTGCAAGTGCAAAATGCTGTTTTATTATTCAAAAAGTCCGCAATCACAACCGCGGCATTGATTGAGCCTTCAAAGCGCTCCTCGCTCCAGAAATAGCTCCTTGCGCCGAGGCCGCACGAGGAGGGACGGGGCCCGTCCCAAAACGCCGCTCCGGGGCAGGTCTCTGTGCACGGGGGTGGCTCCTCCTGCCCGTGTTTGCGCGGAATCCGCGCGGTTTGTTTTGGCACCCGCCCTTCCCAGAATGGGTATTGCAGCGGGAGCTGCTCCGCAGGACACGTGCGCACCAGGAGAAAGGTTCGAGCCCCTCGGAGGAGTCGAGAGGGCGGCGGCCCGGTGCCCCCGACCCGCGGCAGGGACGTCACCCGCGCTGGGCGGGCGCGCAGGTGCCTCCCGTCGCATGCGGAGCGAACGTGTGTGTCTGCAGCAGGTAGCAGGACGCCGCGGGGTCCCTGCCAGAGCCAGGCTGTGCCTGTCCCCCTCGGGAAGCTGGGCCCGAAGGCCGGGGAAAGGGCATGGCTGCCATGCAAAAACGTTTTCAAAATAGCTGTTTTTTGTGATCGCAATGGAGGTGCCTCCCTCTAGCGGCGCATCCAGCCCTCGCTCCTGCTTCCGGCCTTTCTGCAGCCCGGGAAACAAACAGCGTGGCCATTAAAGCAGCTTTGGTGAGGACTGCTCGTGCACCCGGTGTAAAACACGTGGTTTTAGGCTGGGGAAACGCGTTCCTCACCAGGTAGCCAGACGTGATCATCGTCATGAAGAGGATGGCATTTAGAGGCGCTTGCTTTGGTGATCTAGTTGCACTAAGCGGGCGGTTGTTCCATGCAAGAGGTCCCATTGCCAAAGCCAGGGACGAGTTGAGGCATTCGGCGTTGCCTTTGGGCGAGCTCGGGGTGCGAAGCCGAACGCGGTGGCTCACGGCACCACGAGGAGCAGCTCGTCCCGACCGCGCTCCGCAACCTGAGCCCTGGTGAGCGCCGCTCCCGGGGGCTGCGTCCCGCACCGAGAGGACTCGTGTGCAAGACGAGAGCGCCCCGAGCGCCGGGCGGAGGACACGGAGGCGCACGGGGCTCCGCGCCAGGACAGCGGGGACGGCTGCGAGGCCGGGGCGGGAGCTGCGATCTCTCTGCTATCGAGGA